TTTACTGACAAAGAAATGTAAAAATTTTGATATCGCTTTTCAACATTGAACCATTTCATTCATTTTTGTACTACGAATTTTGACATGTGATATTTACCTCCCATTCCTCGCCCCATTGGCATGCCTCCGCCCATTCCACCGCCCTTGGCATCATCATCATTTGCATTACCCTCCTCCCATACCACCCTTTTCCGCCTCCCATTGGCCCATACCTCCTCCCATTCCACCTCCCTTGGCATTTCCTCCACCCATACCGAATTGGCATCATCATTCCCTCCGCCATGCCTCCTTTTCCCCCGCCCATAGGCATACCGCCGCCATACCACCGCCATTGGCATTCCGCCCCCATTCCTCCACCCTACCGCCGCCCATTCCTCCACCCATACCACCGCCCATTCCTGTTCCGAAATTAAATTCAAGTGATACTTTGACACACTAAAGTTAAAGAATATTGGAACTATACGGTATATATTAAACAATACAAACAAGTTTAGAAAATTATAATGACGTTTTTCCTACGTAAAACACTTGTTAAAAATGACGTGATACTAGTAACTGATACTGTTAAAATAACGTGACGAACTGGTAATGTTGTTTATATAAGCATTACCTCCTTTTCCACCCATTGGCATCGGCATCATTCCACCGCCCATTCCACCTCCCATTGGCATACCACCCATTCCACCGCCCATCATTAGTTGCATCATCATTTTACTCATACCACCTCCCATTCCACCGCCCATGCCGCCTCCCATTGGCATTCCTCCGCCATACCGCCTCCCATTGGCATTCCTCCGCCCATACCGCCTCCCATTGGCATTCCTCCGCCCATACCTCCTAGAATCAGGATATATGTATATTATTATTGTAATACCTCAGTGTTTTAAACATAAATAAAAGTACCTCTCACTAAGTTCGTAACTTTATTTATATTTATTTCATAAAAGATAATTTTTCTAAAGACCAGTTTTAATAGTTTTTCAGGTTTTCCTTAATGCTAATACTTATTTTGAAGCCCCACAAAAATACCATATGAGTCTTAATAAAGCTCCAAATAAATGACTGTTCATTGTAAAATAGATAATAAATAACAAGCTTTTTACCTCCCATTCCTCCTTTACCACCACCCATTGGCATTCCACCGCCGCCCATTGGCATCATCATCATCATTGGCATTCCTCCGCCCATGCCACCTTTTCCGCCTCCCCCCCCCCCCCCCCCGCATTCCTCCACCCATACCACCTCCCTCCATTGGCATGCCGCCGCCCATTCCACCTCCCCATTGGCATGCCGCCTCCCATGCCACCGCCATTCCACCTTTACCCTCCTCCCATTTGGCATGCCGCCGCCCCATTCCACCTCCCATTGGCATACCTCCTCCCATACCCACCACCCATTGGCATCATCATTCCACCACCCATTCCTCCTTTACCGCCACCCATTGGCATTCCCCCGCCCATACCACCACCCATTGGCATTCCACCGCCCATTTTGCCGCCACCTAAAACATAAAAAATCTCTATTATTTTTTTTTTATTTATTTATTTATTTTATTTATTTTTTTTGAAAAACGAACACATTGTCATACAATCCAGACAACAGTTCTTAATTTTGAAAAGACTTAGTTACGATCTCATTATATCAAAGATTAACAAAACTTACCCATTCCGCCACCCATAGGCATTCCTCCGCCCATACCACCACCCATCCCACCGCCACCTCCACCTGCAATTACATATATCTTTTATTGTCATAAAGGTATGTTCGTCGGTATGTTTAACAAATAAAAAAATGTGTTTGACAATTTTAGGACATTTTAAGGTCTAATGACCAGCACAGTCATAAAATTAGTCGGTTAAAGAATACTTTTGACCCGATTCGGACATACTGTATACACAATATTTTCAGCATAATGTGTACAAATATCAGTAATAGAGAACGATGTTCATGGCACGCAGCCCACGACAACATCAATCAGCTTAGAGCAGCTGGAAAGGAACTCAGTAGGACACTTACCAGAAACGGTGCAAAATAGGCAGGGTATACAAAAGGCGGTGCAGGCAGGGGGCGACCATAAATCGTAAATTTGACGCTCGTATGCATTATAAATATTATACTGAGACAGGGTTGCATAAGCACCATTTCGTTCACTCTTTAACTTTTAGTTCATATATTAATGCAAGTATTAAAAACTTTACCTACCTCTGTATGCAGTGGATAGCGCCAGTAGAGCAGAAAATAAAGTGACTTGAATAGGATTCATTGTTGACTTGTGCTGCAAATATATGTACACTCAAATAAATAAACAATACTATAAAAAGGATGAATATATGTATATCATTTAACTCGTTTTATAACCTTGTTCTAACCCATTTTTTAGGTTTATTAATCAAAGTGTTTGGTGCTGTATGGCCAGTCATGTGTCAATGTGCCGTAAAACCCAAAGAAACAAAAACATATTTTTGGAAAAGAGAAAACCCAAGTATATAAATAAAAGAAATAATCTTAAACTTGGTTCGTAGAGTTAATGAAAGTTGCATCATCTCATCTCAATCCCTCCAATACCGACTTAGATAATTAGATAATTTAATTCAACGCAATGATCCTGAAGGATTTTAAAAAAACAACGGTATTTTACAGCTTCCATACAGCAAATTTAGGCAATGATTGAAAATCTTTAACTTTCCCTCTAGAAAATAGTAAAATGTCAATAACTTGAGATTTGTCAAAAGTATTTAAGCTTAAAATATACTTATTATGTAATTTTCCTAATGAGGTAAACGTATGACAATATCTATATAGAAATTTCTAGATTAGGTTGTGCGCTGACATTTAATAGAGAACAGTGCGGCATGAGAGCTTGGTATGTGCTTCCCGCGTTAACGGATAGAAAAAAATCTTGACTATGAATAACGTTTGATGATTATTCTTATAATAAAGTTCGTATATGTAAAAATAAGTCTTCCATAACTGAAATACAAAGCAATGGAATTAAGCTGAAAAAAAAGTTACTTGGAGCGAATTATAATAAACCTTTAGCATTAGTTTCCAGTTCAATTTGGAGAGAATAACAATTATCGTTTTCAGCATTAGCTTTCAATTAAATCCACTTGATCATCGTATTGTATTAAATTGCTGTATGTTGTGTGAAAATCGCTTCGAAATGAAATTTTGAAATATCAATATATTTATTCAAATAAGCCGAAGTAAATTGGAAGAAAAATACTCAAGAAAAAAAAAAAAACGAACTTAATTTGATACCAAAATATGTATCACATCATACTAAATTCTACTTATTTTGCAATAAATGTTTATAAATCACCTTATAAATATAGCTGTATATATAACGAATTCTTTGCTTTTTAAATCCTGGTAAAATTTGTGTTAAACTTTAATCACAAGGACATTTCATTTTGTAACAAAATAAGTTTTGATATTAAAAATCATTTTTACTTACATTGATAGACGTGTGAAAACACAATGAGGTCCGAAAATATCCAGGAGGTCTACTGCGTTTTTTTATTTCTCCTCCGTTCTTATATGGAACGAACGCTCTACTTCATGGTCACGTGACTTGCTTAACATACACATACTTACAGTAGAAGTTTTGCGACCGGAAGTTTTGTGTGTTTACGATGGATGTTCGCAAAGTAATTGAATTTTATTTCGTGAGTTCCATTTACCAAAAAAAAATATATACATATTTGTTTTCGTTATATATGAACGCAGGAAAACAGAATGAAATTATCCGCTAATGTGGATTATTAATAGTTTAATAGTTGTTTAATTCTATTAAAAGCATAAAGAAATATTATTTCTAATTATAAACATATTAGATCATGTGGGATTAGAAGTCAGTCATGGAGAAATTCGAATATACTGGCTAGTTATCCATCTAAAAAAGCCGGTTCGGTGAATGGACCGCCGGATATGACCCAAGGCGTGTGTTAATTCGGCATAAAAAAAATAAGCTGCAAAATCAAACAGACGAACGAACAAATAATAATAAGAAAATGAAGTAGACATTATAAATATATGCAATAAAATAAATGCATTTGTGCTTTTTCTTAAACTAATTTTTCACAAAATTATTATGATCATTTAGTAAGCTGTATAAGAATGTTATGAATATCTTGAAAACGCATTTGTCCATTGATTTAAAACTTATTTTTGACAAAATGCAAGTACATTGAATCCATACATTTTGTCCTTTAGAAAGATAAATAAAAATGTTTTAAATAGCTTGGTCATTTATTTTAACATTTTACTTCTCCAGTTTTGTCATTTCCCTTCGACAAAGCCTGTTCGGATAAACGAGTGAATAAAAACCAAAGATAAAGAGATGTGTTTTTGTTGGCATATGTTTGTAATCTTTATTGATAACAAACAAAGTTTATTACTCTAAGTTTATTTGATTTATTTATGCTTATATTTGTCAATATACATAGAAGTTAAAAGTAACTTTTTTATCCACTATCAATGTAAATTTTAAAAGGACTGTTTCTAAATTGGGAAGATACAACAATTTGTCTTTCGATTACTGAAATAGGCTTATTGTTCATTCCAAGAAAAAAAATCAACATTGCAAATAATGGTTTAAATTTAAAAAGAAAAAAATGTTTATGGAATGCCCCTTTAACATTTGTGTCAGTAACAAGTATCAACACCTTTTTCATCGTCAAAGTTAACATACAACATAACTGAACAATGTTTGGATGCTGTTCTTTGCTTTTTTGTAAGACAGGATCAAAGAAGGGGATGTACGGAGAGTGTTCGAGCTATTCAAGCACATGTAAGTTACGTGTAAGTAACAAATTTACGGTGTTAAAATCTCACAGGTCATTTTCCCTCTACTTAATTTATATCAATACATGTGTATTAGGGATAAAGTAATGATGTCATTTTTGTCGTAGTTACTTTAATAGCCTTTATAATTATTTTCATTTACAAACATCGTTATTTGCATTTTAAAACATCTTGTTTAAGTGACATTATGCCCATCCAAGTGTAATTTTTGAGAGTAAAAGTCATAAAAAGTTTACATTTTACCGTATTTGTTTTCAGTTTCTTATTCTGGCACATGGGCATTTTTATAAATGTCCTTGAGAATGTATCGGTAACGCTTAGTTGGTTAAAATAGTCGATATGTTTTTTTTTACATTTTAGGCAGTTGTTAAAGTTATAAACAATTATTGGTCCGGTCACCATTGAAATAGACACTACATTTTGTATTTTGCAACACATTGTATATAGCTACAACAAAAAATAATCATACTGTCACTTCTTACTATTATTATCAAACAAATTATTATTCAATTTACATGCATTACTAGCTCACATTATTTTTTCTAAATGAAAACAGGAAAATGTATTTTAGTAAAATCAATAAAAGGATAGAAGCTTGTTCTGAAAGAAAGTTTCCAAGACTACGTTGACATGTCGACATGGTGAAAAAGGATTCTTAATCTCGTGGTATGGTGGCTAAACAAGTTACAAATTCCGACGCTGTTTTTTATTTCTTTCCTGAATGTTGATACCGCTACGTTTGTAAATTAACCACATTTCTAATAAGTTTATACCATGACGTTTTTGTATGTTTTTTATTAAATTTCCAACATGTAATAGTCTATTTGATAATCATTATCCCATCCCCTCCATGCCGCGTCCGTTTTTACCACCGCCCATCGGTACACCTCCGGTCATATTCACTTGCATACCACCCTAAAAGGCAACCAATTAATATAAAATGTATGTCTATTGTTATACAAAGTCGTTACTTTAAAATAAAAGCTAACAACATAATTAAATGTAAGTGCAAAAGTGATATTTTCGTTATTGCTTAACACTTTGAAATATCTCTTTTTCAAACGTTCATTTATCAGTCAATAAAAATATGCTCACCAATCCATTGCCACCCATTGGACATGATCATGCCACCACCTTCAACACGACATCGTATTGTCAATTATTTAAATTCTATCAGGAAATGTCTTTACACTGTGCCTCGGAAATGAATATATATTTCCTTCTTTAGAAAGGGCACGTGGGTGTCATAGTGTGTAAATAACGGTGTCAGAGCATTTAGGGAGCTTTCAACCTCATGTAAGTAAAGCTGAATGTAAAGTTATCTTTTATGAAGGTAGCAAACTGTAAACAAACTAGTAATTAGACATTCATGAAAAATACTAAACCACTATACATCTACTAATGCCAGAAGGTAACAGAAGCAAAGGATAGTTCAGGTATATGGCCAATGGGAAACTTTTTAAAAACTGTAACAAGACACCAAATTAAATATACTTTGAAAAAAAGATAACAGCATTTCTGGGACATTCTCAGCCTTAAACAAAATTGTTTCTCGATCTTAAAACTTTGATGAATGGATTGTATTTGGTCTTACTCTAAAACCTCTGTATGCACTGGAAAGTGACATCAAGGCAGAGACGAATATTGCCGAAATAAGTTTCATTGTTTGGTCAGATCTGAAAAAAAATCTATTGACTGTTTTCATAATGTATCTTTCAGTTCCTTATCAAAGTTATTATTGGTGAATTAAAAAACAATGTGAGTACAGAAAATGTGAAATAAATGCATTTATTTTCCTGATTGTAATTATGAATAGATAAACATAATAAAAGAAAGATTACTTTATACTCAAAAATATGAAATTTGCAAAATAACTTTATATTTACCAATACTTTTTAAACTTGTTTTGCTATCATAAGACCGATGGGTTTTTTGGGGGTTTTTTTTCATTGTGTAAAGTTCAAACGATTGTTTTGTTAACTGATGTTAACAAATGAAATGACAAAGTTTGTATGTATATCATGATTTTACCTTTTCACATTTTTTCTGTCAAGATCTAGAACGGTTTTATTTGTGATATTGTCAATTAATCAAATCAAATACTGCGTAAGCAATACGATGTTTTAGGACTTTTTTCTTTTTTTATCAATTTTCTTTTGAAAACAATGTATGTTCTGATGTCTGTTTCAAAGACATTTGTAAATTATAATTTATTCTCTAGATTGTGAATGTTTTACATTAAATGCGTCAGGTTTTATGCAATGCGGATGATATCGAAAGTAAAAGTTAGTCGTCTATCTAGCGCTAGAAGCAAAATTCTTTTGCCAATGAAACTGCTATCGAAGGTCAAAAAAGCCAGCCCTCAAACACTACAAGCGAAAATTCTCATGGCAACAGACCCCCATAGAATAAAGTTTAGCAACTACACGCAGAACTTATACTTAAAACTCGTAACCCACGTAACCAGTGCAATAGGGAGGGCAATAAGTTAACAGTTTGTCTGAACGGATCAAAGAACGGGACGTGTAAATCTTGCATTTAATGATCATATAAGGCACGATATGAATATCTTATGACAGTAACTTTGTCGTAAAACTTTTTAATGAAACATAAGTGCGCCACTTTTGTGGTCTTTTTTATCACCCCAACAAGTGGAAACATATGAAGAGGTAATGTGCTTTTTTCACAGTTGTAAAACTATTTCATTGACGGTTGCAAAGTGTTAAAAATAACAGAAGAACAGGAATTTATTGTATTCATCGGCTGTTAAATAAACTTTGATTATTGTTTTACATATATTTTTGTCATAGAGCGAGGAATGCCTTCGACGGATTTATTATCATGTACAGCAATGTTTGATTTAATACTAAGCGGTCAAGTGAAAAAGGATCGTTTGGGGTTTATATAGTTGATACCATATTTTAAATACAAAAATAGATCATTTCTTTTAGTATTACATATCTAGGGAATTAATGAAACTTTGATAGACTATTAAATTTATTACCCCATTGTACACGTGTTCTCGTATTTATTTTTAAATAAACCATTTCCAGTTTTGAATTATGGGTGTATATAAAACTCTAAATGTTTATCGCAGAAAGGTGTATACATGTATATCTTTCCAGCAAACAATTTGAAACTTCTTTCATATATAAACATAAAGCTTTAATAATTGAATTCGAACAAAGATAATTCATATAGATTACATATATATTCTAATATCAGTTTGTTCGCATTAAAGTTGCATTTAATTTCTTGTCCTTTAGTCATCGCTGGTACGGAAACTATTGTAATAAAGTAAACTCTGTTTCTGTTCTTTAAAATACATTTTATGTTAATCGATGAAATATTCCAAGAGTTGTATTTTTGTCAGCTTACAATATCTTTTTTTAAATTAGCTCAATCCTTAATTAGCAAATATATTATAAGCATGTGAATAACATATGCAAGAAAAAATCCTTGCGGTGTACAAGTTGTGTCATAATCTCTTGCATATCAAAGAATCATGATGTAGAGGAAATGTGTCTTTCATTTGCCCCTTTGTGGCCCAGTTTCGCCCAAATCATCTTTAGCTATGGAAATCCATGCGATAATAAGTCGACTTTGAACTGCTTATGAAATTTAATGTTAGATAAATCTAAATGTAAGATGGATTATTTCATAACATTGACTTTTAGTCCAGTTGTTCAGTCGATATTTGGAGCAAATATCATTAGGCACTTGCAAGAAATTTAAGATAATATTTGTCAAATTGTGCTCAGATTTCCTATACAGCAGAACCTGTTTTAAGCAGTCAGTCAAGGGACGTAATCAAAGCAATGTAACAAAATTTAATGTTTTTATATAAATTTTTTTTCTTCAAGAAAAGAAATTGTATGGGCGAGTTTATTACCCCTTGCAAAATCGTCACCGCTTTTTTAAATCTCCTTTCATTTACATATGTTTTATATCATAATAATCATCGTATTTTACTTCAAAATTATATAATAAGTAAACGTTTTTATCTAGCAAATAACTGAAATATCAGCAAAGCTGTAAAAATTTCAAATATGTCGAGTTCAGCAATGAGTACGATATAACAACATCTAATGTTACCTTATCAATTATTTTTCTTCAAGAAAGGAAATTGTATGGGCGAGTTTATTACCCCTTGCGACAGTCCGCATTTACAATAAAAGGTTAAATAGATATGCCTATGTTATGTGTTTTAATTAATGTTTTCTTTCATCTGCCGCAAAAAATGTCCATACAAAAACTTTTATAAGCATTATAATAATATTTTTTACACAAATTGAAATATCTTTTCTTTCCTTCTCAAAAGTGTATTTCTCATTTTGATAGCAGAACTGAACTATATGAGATAGGAGCACTTTTGTCTCCTGATACTTCTGATACTTTTGTCACACCTGTATCAAATATCCTGATACGTTTGTTTTTAAATGTGCTCATAATTTTTATTAAAATGTTTGTGTTTTTAATACCAAATTAAAACAACAAAAATCTCTTTCTTCAATATGCATTTTAATATCATAACTGCAATATAATATAACATAGATTAAAAGAGAATGTAGGCGAAAATAAAATGATTAAATCAATATATAACAAGTATACAAATGATCACATTTAAGACCTTTTTGTGTGTGCACATTCGGTAAAATATCATGGTCACGATAATAAACATGATGCATAACATGTTGATTGCACAGTCATTAATCTTACAAATATTCAAATTTGGTTTATATATGGTGAGTGTTGAATTAAATGTGTCCATCGAAGTAAAGAAAAGTCGCTGCTGTTAGAGAATTCGCTGGAAAAGTCACATCACAAATGATTAATTTATTTCATCCATCATAGATGCATCGTCAGAATCCATGGTAAACTTGAATCTTGTCATCAGGTCGGAATTGCTTAATATTTTCTACCTGTTATAGAAAAATAAGCGCAATAAGAGATGTTGTGTTGACATAAAATATTGATAAATATGATATCTTTTTTACTTTTTATTATTAATTAATTATATGCGCATTGAGTTCTTGATGAACACAATTAAGCTGTATGATAATATCTGAAGAAAACTAACACAAATGTGTTTTAATATTTAAAAACCTTTCAATTTTATCAAATATATATAAAGTTTCCTGGAATATTACCGCCCATTGGCATACCGCCTCCCATTCCTCCACCCATTGGCATCATCATTCCACCGCCCATTCCTCCTTTGCTTCCTCCCATTGGCATACCACCGCCCATTGGCATACCGCCTCCCATACCACCATTCATTGGCATCATCATTCCACCGCCCATTCCTCCTTTGTTGCCTCCCATTGGCATACCGCCTCCCATTCCTCCATATATCGGCATCATCATACCACCGTCCATACCGCCGCCCATTGGCATACCACCTCCCATACCACCACCCATTGGCATCATTGGCATACCACCGCCCATACCTGCAGTTAGCGATGCATAATTCCATTGATATACATGTACTATAAGTTATTACCATAAAGTCAAATTTTAACTCTTAAAACTAATGCTGTTTTATTCATTAAGAATTATATTATTCTATTCTTCGAGCAAAACCTACAGTTATATCTTAATAAGAAATTAGACTTGCCTCCTTTTCCTCCCATTGGCATTGGACTAGGCATCGGCATTGGCATTGGCATAGCCATTGGCATAGGCATGGGCATGGGCATCGGCATTCCTATTAATAAAAATACATGATACAATTTCTTTTTTTCTTTAAAATGAATAATGAGATATTTCATATTTTCCATTTTTAACATACCACAACATGACTACATACCTCCCATGCCGCCTCCATTTTTACCTCCACCCATTGGCATACCTCCACCCATTGGCATACCACCTGAAATAATTCAATTTAAAGGTTATTAGCCTGTTTCAAATAAAAAAAATAAAAAACATAGTTTTTGAATTTTTTTATTGTTACCACTGATTAAGGTAAAGACTATTTCTTAAAAATGCAGTACTTATATTTATAATGGTTATGAGGATTTAAAATAGACTAAGCATACAAACTGTTAACTTGTAATGTTTAATTGCATATTCAATTTTGTCAGTTTTCAAAATCGTACTCACCCATTCCACCGCCGCCCATTTGCATCATCATGCCACCACCACCACCGCCACCTGTAAAACAATGAACTTTGAATGGTTTAAACTTTTCATACCATATTAACATTGAATGCAATGTGAACAGATAAATATTCAGAATATGTACAGTGTCCTAAAATAATCATATTTTAGAAACAAGCAAGGAAATGTTCGTACTATTGATGCCTCATACATTAAAACTTATTTCAGATGAAGCAAATTGATTATTCGATATGTAAGCAGAGATAACAGATGTGCCACCTTCTTTAACATTTTCAAATTTTGACAAACGTTTTGTTTAACTATATGTGTAATATTTCTGTTGAATTTTAGCTTTCAGTTACGTGTATGATAATGTTATTTAGTTTCCTGATTGTACTTGTACCTCTGTATGCATTTGTAAATGCCAGCAAGGCAGAGATCAACATGATTTGAACAGAAGCCATTGTTTGGGCTGATCTGAAACATAAACCTTTTCATGAGATATATCAGATGATAATAGAAAAACGTTCTGCAGTACCTTAGTAAAATCTTCTCTTTTTTTTATCTAAATATTACTACGTATAATACATTGAATACTAGTATAAGGATATATTATTTTTGATAGAATTTGAAAAACGCAAAATTCCGAAGCTGTTTCTGTCGATAGATAAACTTGAAACACACTTGGTAAGAAAATATTTAAATATTCCGACCCCCAAAAAAGCGCTAATAGGTAAAAAAAATATATAAGTATTTAGAAAATTTATTTATTTACTTTTTTGAAGTAACAATTTTTGGTTAAAACATTACATTTGCTTTAAAAACAACACTATATCAACTCTCAAAATACATACGCAACAATAAAGAAAAAAGGAAACTGAAAATATTTGTACTTACATTTAAAATATTGGTGGATGTGAAATGCGGTCTGGATGGTCGGAGAGTTCTGTTAAGTGTCGCATTTTTCTCCTTTATATAGCCATATATGCAGGAAATATTTGCATAACGGCACAATGACTGGTTAAAAAGTTATGATAACTCTGCATGTTTTAAGGCATACAACAAATTAGTAACATATTCATTTCAGTCTAGTGTCGGTAACATTAAACAGATTGTAACCAATGATCAAAGAACGGGACGTGTTAAACTTGCAGTTAATGATCTAATATAGAAAGTAATACATTTAAAACAGAAACCTTGTCATCTAATTGTTTAAGAAACATAAGTGCAACACTTTCATTGTCGTTTAAATAACCACACAAATATACATAAGCGAAGGGATAAAGTTTTGGTTTTCACGAGTGTAAAATTATTTATTTAAGCTTTCGAAATGATACAAAAGGAGTTTAGAAGTCAAACGTGCATTCATCGTATTTTTTTTAAAATGATTATTATTATATTAGTTTGTTGATGGTAACAATTCCTTTTAAGGATTCTTTTCAGTTTTATGGAGGCTGTAATAATTTTAAAATTTGGCATTGAAATTTGTTGTTCAAAAATACAAAATAAACAAAGTTTATATTTAGTTTATTACTTGTAACAGTTAACAATAATTTAATGTTTTCGTTTATTATGAATAGTCAACTTTTTATCTTTTGATTGTTTTTTTTTTCAATCATTGCTGCTTTCCTTTCAGATGTTTTGTTCAAAATGGAGAAAATGAAGCGGATACATCTGTATAAAGACATGTTGGAATCTATTATCTTGTTTGATGAACTTTTGTTAATTTCACGTTATTTTGTATTAGTATATTTTTTATATTAACACAAAATTAAGAATAAAAATAAATCGTATGATTTGTTTTCTGTAACGATTAATTGTTGAAAATTGAGACTTTGCTGAGGACGTTGCTGAGATCAAATTTGGACAACATTCTATTTTATCATTCTTTTCCTGTTTGCTTTCATCAATTGCACCAAGATAGATTGTACTTGTGGAATATGTGTATTGTGTTACTATATTTCAAAGGGTATGATGCTATATCTCAATATGAAATATATTTTATAAAGTTTATAAACCATCAAATTATGCTATTTTCATAATAAATATTCTTTTAGTCGATTAACTCTCGATAGAGTTATAATGTAAACTGTCTCTTTTATTTGACACACCAGACTATTGTACGTTTACTAATAAAATATTCCGGAACAAAATATGATGCTGCTTTTTAAGTATCATATTAACCTTTTAACACTAATTTTGTGCATGCGTTGTTTGCTCTACTGCAGTAAGACTTAAAGAAATATTTAATTTGAAACATATTTCACTCGAATTTTAATTTCGGAATTCGTTTTTTTAACTAGCAGATTTATTGCTTTTTACACATTAAGGATTTGCATGCAAATATTATCTGAAACATTAAATAATTTCATTACACTTGTTGTCTTATTTTGTGCTGTCGTTGTGCATGAAGTAGAATTAAATGGTATGGGTCAGATTTGTTAACAACATTTTTCTTGTTGCTGTCATTGAAGTTGAACTGAGCTTAAAGGATAAATGATTATTTGATTACGCCTATCAAAAAATATTGATCTGTTATTATATCATTAACATAAATTATCTGCCAATTCAAGAGATTTTCTTCATTTAAATTTGATTACACTGAGCACAGTGCTTGCGGCAATTGTGTAATAAGAGATCGGATACATTGTTTCTTTTCAATCACTTTCATACTAGAAAATAAGGTAACATATAGGTTTATTCGCGTCAAGTGTACATAATGGGCAACACTTACTATAAATATACCCTTCAGAAATTTTCGTAATTATTGAGTAACGTTGGTCCCTTGAAAGAAAGAAATTTGCAATAGAAAGTAAGTGAATTTTGCTGACTCGGTTATCAAAATAGTATCACCTACTCATATCCCATAAAACAGGCTTAAGTTGTATAAACTGTTCATCAGCAGTACACACTTTTTTGTTTTCAATATTAAGAGTACAATATTTTATAACTTTGCCGTTGCTTAAAGCTATATGGAAAGTGTTTTGATTTCTGTGACGTTTTACATACATAATGAGAAAATGTAACTCAAAGACGAATTTTGTCATAATTATCAACTTGTGAAATGTCATTTATTTCTTCCTTTCGTTCTGTTTCTCAAACATAAAGTATTATTTGTTCGAAAGGGAAATTCTTTTAACTGGCCCGCATATTTCAAGTTTGATTCTCTCATTTTTCTTTAAAATCTTGCTATGTTTATTACGAAGAAGATCTGTATCAAATAAGATGTAATCGGTCTCCCATTCAGTCAGCTTACAATTAAGTGATACGTTATCGGAGATCGTTGCTCGAGAAATTGAAAAATATTTCGTCCTTTTTCCTTCTCTTTTTCGTTGAAATAAAATGCATTACATCTGTTGGGGTGTTTGATACCTTTTGGTTAAGAACCTAAGGTAGTGAAAAATAAGTCGTCAACATAGTTATGTTTTTATCATTGTCGACTTTTGTCATGGATGCTCCCTTTTGTTTTATGGCATTTGGTATTTGTCATATAAAATGGATATGTGTATAATTGCTCTAAAGAAACGTTTATTGCGCATGCTTACTTTTATCTTGACAAAAATACTAATTTAAAAAAAAATAATAGATTTAATAATGTTTGTTATATCATGAAATGGGATAAAACCAGCTTTTCATGACTTATAGGGCATTCAATGAAATCTCCATACCTAATCCAATTCATTTCCGAAATAATTTCTCATAAATTACAATAAATTATTTAGTTATTTTATGCACTCTTTATATACATTCTTCTGTACTATACATACATTAATAATCATTATTTCATAATACATGTCAGTCATATTTATTTTTATCTAAATTTTGCATACAGGTTACCTTTAAGAACATAACTGTCCTAATTTTGCATATAGGTGACCTTTAAGACACATAACGGTCCTATGTTGTCAATTTTACCGTTCCTTATAGTGCCCATTACCCATGGTCTACCTTAAGTGACAGTACATGTATGAACATCCAAGGGTATTATAGATGAAAGTCAAAATTTGTTTGCATTTTGCCATAATCGCTATCAATTTTATAAATTTTATAAATTAATTCTCATGAACGTGGCCCATGGAAAATCTGTATATATCCATCCAATTCATATGTTACGTTCAATTTGGGCAGTCTTGTTATATTTTAAGCAGATCCTAAACATTTTTTAATATCAACTGTTGGTCAGTCACCATTAAATCAATCAATCTTAAATATAGTGTCAATATTGTCAATTCAACTCAACTTAACAATGAAAAAAAAAGCTTGTAACTTTAACAGTTTAACTTTTTAAAGATAGATACTCAAATTTGATATTTGAAAATATTAATAATTTCTGTACACCCGTTTGTTTAATGTTAAATAAACACAGAGAAAAGATGTGTTGTGTTTTACACAATACACACTTTAGGTAAACAAAGTATAAATACATTTGTCATTACAAAAAGACCTGGCAGTTTTTTGAGAAAGGACCAGATTAACTTGGCCAGTTATAGGGAAAGCAGCTTTCTAAACATAGTTTGTGCATTCTCATTTCAAATAAGTCATTTTCATCAAGAATATTTCCTATTTTTCGATAGATTTCTGCAATAAAAGTAGCTTATCTTTAATTGACCAAAAAATGAAGTCTGCAAAGAAGTCAAGAAATACATCTGTTGTCAAGGGAATCAGTGTAATAACGTGCACTGATTCTTCATCAAAATGCATCATTGCGACATATGAAACATTGAATAAAATTATAGGCGAAGTTATATTCCCTTATAGCAAACCAAATTTGAAATAAATAGTCTGGTGAAAATTTTATATGATATTGGCACTGTTTTCTTACGTATGCATGTATACTAAAATAACAAACAATATACCATCCATACTTAAGTTGTTAAGCCTTTTACATAAACATCTACTATTCTGACTACAAAGTCAATTATTTTTTTAAAGCATATATATTTAAGATACAAATTACGGCATCGAATTTGATGTTTCTGATGTCATTTTTTTCTACATATCGAATAATTCACACCATACTTTAGTATATAAATACTAAACTTTAACTGGTAACTAAAAACGATAAACTATGTTGTTTGTTTTTCAAAATGCATTTTATTATCATAACTCCAATATACACATTCATGTACAACACAAAAAGACGAGAACATAGGTGAAAATGCATGAGTATATGAAGCGAAGAATCAGATATATTTTGGGTTTTAGTTAATATCAGTTAGCTATAGATGCACAATGTCTCTTGACTACATAGTAATCAATGTACACCATTTAGTGTCTGATTTTCAAATTAACTTCTTCTTATACGTGTTGATAAAATTGTTCATTAAATATAAATTGATATACTGGTGCTGTTTTCCGAGAACTCGCCGGTGTGAATACACATCACGATTGACACGTTATATTTCTAATTGTAGCATCGTCAAAATCCATGGCAAAGTCAAGTCTTGTCATCCAGTCGGAATTGTTTAATACTTTCTACCTGTTAGAGTGAACAAGGTTAAAATAAACAGGCATTATTTTACCAAGGTTTCATAATGTGATAAAGATTTTGAAGTTGATGTTTTTTTTTTAATTTTAACTTATTCAAGGCGTGAAATAAACAATTTTAAATTGAATATAGTCGTCTTTCTGTCATAGAAGATCTTCGCAAAAATCTTAAAAAGAATCAAATTTTCAAAACGTAAAAGGAGTTTTTTGTTCTGAACCATCATAAAGAAATTATGATTTAATATTTAAGATCTTTAGTTTTTGTTGAACAAAGAGATATAATTTGTTTTATAAAATATATTACCTCCCATTGGCATACCGCCTCCCATTCCACCTCCCATTGGCATCATCATCATTCCACCGCCCATTCCTCTTTTGCCGCCTCCCATTGGCATACCACCGCCCATTCCACCACCCATTGGCATACCACCGCCCATTCCACCACCCATTTGCATACCACCGCCCATTCCTCCTTTGCCG